AATGGGTTGTCTTACTGTTTGTTTAATACAGGAAAAATGTACGACCCGCGACGGCTTACCAAAATTCGTAGAGTGGCCCTCCTGCGAAAATTATTTCCCACCCCTGACGTGATGGGTTGTCTTACTGTTTGTTTTTAAACACAAACTTGCACGACTTTTAGTGTCTTAAGTCCTCTAGCTTACCGCAGAGCCACCGAAGAACTACTTGTGATGATATCTATCAGATTATTTAAATGTCTATTCAACTCTATTTGTATGGAAGAGACAGTTAAAAAACTATATGACCAATTATCACAGTTAATTCTTTTAAGACATTAGGTCCATTATTACAAAAATGTTTCTGTGTACAGATGGTAATGTTCCTCACATCGTAGTTTCTAAGAAAAACTAATGCGAACATATAGTACGCATACACATGTAACAAGTTAATGCATCCAAAAACGCTATGTAATATCTCATAAACACAGCAAAATACAACAACTTGGCATTACTCACATTGCATCATTTTATTCGTGTGCTGTAAAACTAAATTTACATTTACATTCAGTTTGACTATGATATCAGATATTTCTTTTCAGCGAATGTAAAATTGAAATTATAATCTATGGCATACAGACCTAACATATTATTTGATTCTCCGGATCCTCTCCTGTGGACTGCAATTTCGCCTGTTCAAGGCTCATTAGCACAGTTTGGGCCAGCAAACCAAACAAATTCAGTGAGACATCTAATAATAGTAATGTGTATGTAATATTTACAAGGACTATTTTATGTAGTTCTAGAAGCTCAATGTGCTGGAAATAGAATTTTGTACAGTTTCAAATACCGGAGAGCTTCAGAACCGCGGACAATTCTTTAAAAATTTTATATATAATAATGGATGTTATAATATGATGTAGATTTTAGCATCATTAGAAAACATTTTAATAAGAGTTTCATGAACATCTATTATAAGTATGTATGATCTTACAAACATTTTCATGATGCACAAAAATCCCAAAAAGCAAATTGGCCATAAATAAATGCGCTAAATAACGTTCAGCGCCCTTTAGGGAACGTTACAATGTAGTACACATTTTAACCTATGGTTTGTCCAGTCTAAAAATATCTTAAAATAACCCCTGCATATTTATGTAATGTTAAAGTCCTCTATAACTTACAATTTTAAAACTCAGTATCTAAAAATATGAAGAAACGCGCTAACAACGCGCATCAATTTCCGAGAAATGTGAAATAATGAACAAAAACTCCAGATGAATATTAAATGTTATAATTATCATTAAATACTAAAAACAGATTCTGGTTGAGAAATTGTATAGAAGTTATTGTGATTTCTTCTATTTTTGGATATCTTAAAAAAAAGAAAAAGAATCAAATTTATTCTTAGATTCATAGTTAACTCCGTATTATCATTTATTACAACTTATCTACCGGTAAGTCAGTGGTATGTTTATGAGCTTCTAACATTACAATCTGGGGTTCGATTCCCCCTGGTGAATAGAATGCAGATAGCATATTAATGTAGCTATGCGCTAAGAAAATAACAGTTTATCATTGCTTTACTTACCCTCGTGAAATAGTTGTAATACTTTTAATGTCATGAGATAAAAAATTAAATCAGTCACTGGGATAACATTTTAAAATCATTTTTCTCATGTACACCTTTAAAAAGTAGAATCTACCTGTAATCCATTGTATATTCATCTATTATGATAACATTTTAAAATATTTCTGTACATAACACCGATCATCACGTTTTGTGTTCACCAACACGTTTCACTTCCTCCAGTAAAAGTCACCGCTTTGAAGAGAAACGCTATAAATCTAATCTGACAGTAATCAGCAGAACTTTGCAGATAAAGGTCTACCTTTAGACTTACATTATTTAACATAACATCTGCCCTTTCAAGCTTGTCGCGTGATCTGATTCTATGAAGATAAAGCAGCTTAGAAGCCAAGCGCAAGAAAGGTGTAAGGAAATCGTATGAAATTTCTAAATTAATTTCATGCATTTCTACCTAACATACATATAACATCATAAACGATCAGATTGTGAGTTCGAGCTTCAGTATTTGTAAGGAAATATTTGTATCGGAGAACACTAATTTTTGTTTCTAAAGTGTTTGGAATATGGTGAATGTTTTTTATCTATGTATTCTTCGAGTTACAAATATTGTTTTTATTTTGTTAACTAATTGTCTTTCAAATTAAAAGAACATTTCACGACTGTAAAAAGGATAGATTTATTTGTTTATGTTCAGTATTTTTTTGTTTTACACATGTTTACACACACAGCAAAATAAGAAACCGGATCACCTGAACATTTTCGAAAGGCGACCTTCCTTCTGCAGAGATAAACAAGAAAGGTGTAATTTCCATAAGGCTACCAGGTCTCTTATTGTATGATTCATCTAACTTATGATCCTACAAAAACTAAAAACAGTTACCTCTGAAGAAGTATGAAAATACTAATAATACGGAATATTAATTGAATTGTAACTCACAAATATATGTTTCAGACAATTGCAATTGTCACTCTTGTTTTCTTACAGGTCAATGCACGTTTCACTTGTTTTAAAATTAAGTTCTGGCTGCTTAGTTTTACCAAATGTTATCTTTCTCAATAAGTGGTGATTCAAATTTTCTACACACTGTTGTAGTTATATTATGAGCTGAATAAATCAGTAAAACTATTTTGATGGTTCAATTAAAAATTTATCAATCACTAAAGAGAATCTTCCTTTTAAGACATTACTACGTACCCCCCAGTGGCACAACAGTATGTCTGCGGACTTACAACGCTAGAAACAGGGTTTCGATACCTGTGGTGGGCAGAGCACAGATAGTCCATCGTGTAGCTTTGTGCTTAATTATAAACAAATAAACATTAATACGTCATTTTAAAGAGCAGACAGAACATAAATACTACTAAATCTCATTTTCCTTACTTCATTAGTACGTGTTTCACTTCTTATGTCCTACTCAATTATTTTATGAAATTATAACAACAGTTTATTACTAATAATTAAATATTGCTCATGCACGTCTCAAGTAGTTTTGCATTCTGTAAATTATTTGTCAAATATACAATATTTACATTAAGTCAATACCTGTAGGTTAGGACATTGGAGAATAAACACTATTGAAAGCTAAGCTCTCAGAATATTTTATTTAAGGCCCAATTAATATTATTCCTAACTTCTTACAAATATTCCAGTTAATTTCGAGTTATTTTTAAGATCCAATGGTCAAAATAGTTCAATTTACGTTGTTACGTACAAATCAACACGGTGGGTTATCTGTGCTGGGCACCACGGGTATCGAAATCCAGTTTTTAGCGCTATAAGCCTTCAGACTTACCGCTGAGCCATTGGAGGGAGGAAACGCTATGGAATAGGTCTACTTCAGTTTTAATAATTTTGTATAAGATTATACAATCTACAAACAAACAAATCCAAAGTGTCCATAAGATACACTATATAGTAAATTAGCAACCATGTATTAGATATTTAATGGTCTACAATTTCAAAATGTAAGACTATTTTTCTTTTTCTTTAACAATGCATGTGTTTTTTGGCCATGAACCTTTTAAGGTGCTAACTCCACAGAAGATACATATGAACTGACAAATTACAAGTTAGGTATTAAAATGGCGAACTATATACTCTCAGAAAGTCACTATACAAATTCAAGGAAGTAGATTAGTACGTCTATTTCTTAACTGTTAATACATTAGCATATGGGTAGACTGCAAAATAGAAATACAATGTTAGACTTGATTACTGTTGATAAAAATAGTTAACTTCATTTTCTTAAAAATAAATCATATGAAATCGTATTTAATTAAAAAAAAAGACGAACCGGACTTACTTAGTTAAGCCTTATAACTTTTGTTCTCATTGTCTGAACTTAAAAATATTCTAATTAATTTCGAGTTATTTTGAAAATGAGATAGCTAACTTGAATTAGTTTGCTTAGTTTAGGCGCTTATAAACCAAGTTATTGATGATAGGTTGAACTTCCTGTTGTTTGTCCTGTTGCTATAGTGACGAACAACGACTAAATAGTCCTGATCTCCACTTCTTTATATTAAAAGCGTAATCCAATCTTATTTATATCTCGGACTTGGTGTAAAAATGATATATGGTAATATTTAAATGACGTAAAATTAATTAATTAATAACTCAATAACACGTATATAATAAACCCCATCAGGTTGCTACCGATCGGTTGACTCACTGAAGTAGGTAGTTCGATACAAGAGATGCCTCCATGCTACCTAGACTGTGCACTGACAAATATGATGCGATAGGACACCACCGCTAGACAGAAGAGAGCCCGTGTTTTCTCCAGTGCTTTCTAAACATAATCATAACCAATATTTGCAGATAACAATAGGTGTTATAAGTAGTGTTTCAAATAGTCTTATTTTAAATTCCTAATAATAACGATGTTGAACCAAAGACGAGTTACAACTTCAAATCGTTTTAATAATCATTTATATCAATTAAAGGATACTGAATAACTTATTTTTTATTTATAGATTACATAAAAATTAATAACACTACTGCTTGAAAGTGCTACAGATTTTTAATATTTAACATAAAAAGTGCTTCTTAACTTACCTCACGAACCCTGAAGACACTGCGTCATCAACAACTTGATTTATGGCTAATCTTCGTTTCTCTATCCATCTGTCGTTCGGCACAAGATATACATGAAGTTCAGAGAGCTGAAGAAAAATATATGGAGTTTTAGTAAATTTCATGTTTTGTTTTGTGTTGGGGTGAGGTTCCCCATATTTGTTCACAAACGTAACTAATTACTTTCGATACAAAATTATATATTTTTTCTTGTTTTCGAAAATAGTTTATTTATTATTTTGTATGTCTGTCTCTAAGTAGCTTCATTCACTGTTCACAAGATATAATTACAGCTCCTCAGTGACACAGCGATATGTCTGCGGACATACAACGCTAGAAACCGGGTTTCGATACCCGTGGTGGGCAATACACAGATAGCCCATTGTGTAGCTTAACTTCAAAACAAACAAATACTTACATTATATTAACGTGTTCTGATTTCATTCAGATTTTTTCACGCAAATAAGTTTTGACGTTATTAGTACTGCAATAAACCAACAACGCCTATATTCATTAGTACTGTACCACACCAACAAGTCCTATATTCATTAGTACTGTACCACACCAACAAGTCCTATATTCATAAGTACTGTACTACATCTAACAATTTCTGTCATCATTACTACTGTACCACACCAACAAATTCTATCTTCATTAGTACTGTTACATACCAGAAAGTGCAATCTTCATTGGTATTGTACCACACTAATAAGCCCAATCTTTTTTGATGCTGTACTACACTAACAAGTCCTATCTTCATTAGTGCTGTATCACACTAATAAGTGCTATCTTTTTTAGTACTGTACCACACTAACAAGTCCTATCTTCATTAATACTGCACTACACCAATAAGTTCTATCTTCATTAGTATTGTACCAAACCAACAAGTCCTATTTTCAGTAGTAGTGTACTACACCAACAAGTTCTATCTTCATTAGTACAGTACCACACCAACAAGCCCAATCTTAATTAATACTGTACCAACCAACAAGTCCTATTTTCAGTAGTAGTGTACTACACCAATAGGGCCTATCTTCATTAGTACAGTACCACACCAACAAGCCCAATCTTAATTAATACTGTACCAACCAACAAGTCCTATTTTCAGTAGTAGTGTACTACACCAATAGGGCCTATCTTCATTAGTACAGTACCACACCAACAAGCCCAATCTTAATTAATACTGTACCAACCAACAAGTCCTATTTTCA